TAGTGTACATTTTTTCCTCCAGAAAAGTGACTTTGGGGCTGGTGACCTAAGTTTGACTCTTGTGATTTACATAGTTAAAGGAAAGAGCCAACTCCCACACACATACAAACGATCTCCCCCACACACACACACATGATCTGGCTCTCTCTCTCTCTCTCTCTCTCTCTCTCTCTCTCTCTCTCTCTCTCTCTCTCTCTCTCTCTCTCTCTCTCTCTCTCTCTCTCTCACACACACACACACACGCACACACACACACACACACACACACACACACACGATCTCTCTCTCTCCCTCTCACTCACACACACATGCATGCACGCATGATGGGCTGGCCAGCACGGCAGTTGTTCTGTAGGAGTTGGGAAGGGACACCCTCAGCCTGTTACCCTTCCTTAATCTACAGCATAGAGGCGCCTCCAGGGAGAGCCCTCCAAGATTGGGATTTGCCTGTGCGCCAAAGGTTACTTTCTAAAAACTAGAGACTCCATCATAGAGCTGTGAACAAAAGCCTTGTGGAAAGAGCGGCTGAAAGTGTGGCGCTGTTGTTACGGCTGTGGCCTTTGCGCTGTGCTCTCCTCTTAACTGGTCATTGCTCGCTGCATCTGCTGCATCCTGGGCAACACTGCTGCAGTAGTTACTCTCTCCTCAGCTCTTCATCTCCATTCGTTTTCATCGTGCTGGGGATTGCACCCAGGGCCTCAAGCAATGATAGGAAAGTTCCCACCACTGAGCCGCGCCACAGCCCTTATCTTTCGAATACTCTCTTCCTCTGCCTACCCGTTCCTCTTCTGTTCTTTCCTCCTGCATGGCCACAGCTTTGGATGGTTCCGAGACCTCCTTTCTCCTTGCTGCTCCTCTGCACTATCCCTCGGATGACTGGGACAGCCACCGTCCTCCATGTTCTCTTTCACCAAATTCTCTCTCACTGTCTCCTCAGGAGACTCTGGGCCCCTTACTCATTGTTTAGTTCTTTGAGAATTCCATACAATGTTTTGATCATACTCCCGCCCCCAAACACACACACAGCTCCTGTAAGATCCACTCCCCCTTCCCTCCCCATCCACTTTGTGTCTTCCTTCTTGCTTTTCTGGTGATCTCATGAAGCTGATTTAAGGCCTGCAGAAAACAGATGCACTTGAGGAGGCCACGCAGTCTTGCTGTTTTGAAGCAAATGATGATGAATTGGGTGTCTTAGTGTCTGCCTTCTTCACAGTAAATAGACAACTCGAGGACTCTTCAGGTGTCTCCTAAAGGCTTAGCAATTCATCATCATGGTGGACTGACATTTCAATATCTACTTCACTGAAGCCAGGGACAGCTGCTGTGAGTTATGTATCCAGGAAGTGAAGCTTGCCCCCCCCCCAAGCTTCACACAGTGGTGTTGATTTGGGTTTTTTTCTGAGTCACAAAAAGTTTTAAGTCTACCAGTTGTCAAGAAAACCGAAGGGTGACATTTTATTTGGCCATTGTGGTCAGGTAAAGTGACAGAGATTGTATAGAGCAGCAGTCCCAGGCCTGCCCATCTGTTGACCTCAGAGGGAGTGTTTAGCCTTGTACATCAGGCTGCACCTGCCGTTCTGTGGAGTACCGACTGAGAGAAACAGTAACGACCTGGCCCTGGTGGCAACAGACTTGCTAAGGGGCCCAGGATTTCCCACCTATCCCAGCAACCTGGAGACCACTCAGTCCACTTTTAGGAACAGGTGGTAGCCTCTGCAGGGTGGACCTTCACTGGGTGATGAAGGGAAAAGCTGTTTCTCTGGTAACTTGGTGTTTCTTCTCCAGTCTGTTTACCAATCCTGACATTGTATCACTGTACTGCGGTAAGCACGTGATGAGGAGTTTCACAGGTGGGCAGGGGTTTCCTCTCTGACTTTTCTAGCACTGAGTTTTTAATTTTTTTTCCCCTTTGCAAGCCAGCCTGGTGTTTGCAGACCTTTGTAAATACAGCTGACATTATTTTATTAGTAGCAAGACTTGAAGCCCTGACAATTAAAAAGAGTAAAATATCTGGAGTGGCTGGGTCAGGAAGACCTGCCGCCTCAGGCCTGCAGGCTTCTTCCCGCTATCCAAGGGCTCATCCTTCCCTGCTGACTGTTTTGGGAGCAGGTCTGGGGAGAGGCCAAGCTGGTACTCAGGTTCCTTTGGGTTCAGTGCCTCATAGTCCTTTGTCACTACCTTACTCCTAAATAGCTCACCTCCAGCTACCAGGGGAGTAGAAGCTGAAGACTCAGCCAGATTATCTAGGTTTGGGCTTTATTTTGATCTGAAATGTTATCACCAAGTAAACAAATCACCTCTCACCTGGAAACCCAGGATCCTTGCTCTCAAGCCCACAAGCTGTATCCTGTGTCTGTTTTGAGGGGTGGAGCTCCAGGGAGCAGGGCTAGAAGACTCAGGGGCCACAGCAGCAGCTTCTCCACACCAGGGTGGGGTTTGTCTGGAGGAAGCAGCCTTAGCCAGGCAGCTGAGGTGCAGGAGCCTCTGCTGTGAGGCGCAGTGGAGTTAGGCACGTCCACAGCCCTGTGAGAACTGCCTCTGTCCCTGAGAGCAAGAGGGGGCACCGACACAGGAAGAAGGGGTTTGTCTTTTTCCAGCAGTGAGTGACCTCGAGTGAGATACTGCCACTGGTCTTGCACAGAACTCTGTGTGTCACTCTGACACTTCCTGCCCTGTTGTCTGTGAAAGCCCGTGCCGGAGCCTCTGCACAAGTCACTTGGGTGCACGCCCTGGAGAATGGGAAGGGCTCTTCTCTTTCTTTTCATTTTAGCACCATCAGTGGCCTCTCCTCTGTGGCATTCTGTAACCCAGAGAGCTTTCATGCTCACTTTATTCTGCACCTTGTGTGCCATGCCGTCCTCAGTCCCGGCTCAGTCACCTCTCTCTGTGCCTCGTCCCTGTCTCTTTTCTGTACTGAAGTCTGGATTTACTCCGTAAATGCAGCACTTTCCTGAGCATAAGATCCCATCTGGGCAAGCTACCCACCAGTGAGAACCAACTCCGCAAGCCACCACGCTCTTTTAAGATCGATCCAGAAGGGGCTACCCAGTGGTAGAGCTCTAGCCTAGCATTCATGGGGACCCCCATCCCATCACTGCAGAGTGACAGTGACAGGAAATTCCAGCTAAGCAAGACCTAGGTGGTTCTTCTGTAGTGTTTGAGACAAAGGCTCAGTCCCTGTTGTCTCTACGGGTGTTTCATCTCCCAGGCCCCAGGTCCCTCAGGTGGGGCTGGCTACCTTGGGTGTCTGCTTCCTGAGATTCAGATAAGAGAAGAGACAGTGAGCTGTGCCTGAGTGTATGTTGCTCCTTGTATATATTTATATCTAGGAGGGAAAGTGTCTTCTATTTGGCAATAACTTAGGCAGCATTTATTTCAAGGTGACTAGAAACCCCTTTGGGGTGGTAGCTGTTAGCCAGAGTGGAGACTCTTGGGGAGGGGGATGGAAAAGGAGGAATGACCAGGAAGGCTGATCAGTATGGTACAGGATGATGAAACCCAGGCATCGGGGAGGGTGACAGCAGTGAACACTGGGAGCCCGCACCCTTCCGCTCCTGAGGCAGGCGCCGCACTTTGGCCTCCCAGCTTGTGCTGCCTCAAGTCCAGTCAGGTTGCCATCTTTTTGTTCTTGTTTTTAATCTGCTTTCCTTCTCCATACAAGTTGCTGAAAGTGGTCAAGTCAGCCGGGAGAAGCAGGATGCAGCAAGTGATCAGGTTACCCATTGCTCTGGGAGGGAGCCTCTGCACTCACCAGGTGTACTTGGTGAAGGTGCTGCCAGAGGGCAGTGTTGTGTGCACACAGTCAGGGGCAAGAAAACGCACTTGGTGGTGAAGCTGATGACTTCATGCTGCTCCATGAAGGGGCCACCTAGATCTGTAGACACCGGCCAGCATGGACACAGCCTCCCTGCTCAGAGCTTAGTGTCTCGTGGTTTTAGAACAGTCGTTTTACACAGAGGAATGAAGGTTGGGGAGCTCGTCACCTGTGAAGCTACAGCTCCCTGCGGCTTGGAACAGGGTTGGTGTTACTCTGGGGCCTCTCACTCCGGGAGACTTCTCAGAGGCTGGGTGGTGTGCCTTCTATAGTGAAACTGGACTTTCTTAACCCAGGAGGCAGACTTAATGCAGTTGAAGATGGCATGCAATAAACAGATGTGAAACGAAGTGCTGGGGAGCTGTTCGTCGAGTATGTGCCAAAGCCTGGTGATTTGGGGTGCTTTTACCTTCGGTGCACCTGCCAGTCAGTCCCTGCACAGAGCATGCCTTCTCGTGTGCACGCACTTCTGAGATGCATGGTGGCTGAAGGGATGGGAATTTGGTTACTGATATCCCCTTCCCTTAAGAGAAGTAGTGAGTTTATTGGGTTCCTTGGGGGAGTGTGAGTGAGGGCTTCCTTTCAGGAGCATGGCTTCTTATTCAAAGGCAGCAGGATCGTCAAAAAGCCCACTCCATCGTAGATTATTCACCAAAGCTAAAGCTCTGCAGCTCCCTACACAACTTGCAGGCAGATAGTCTCTTCAGTGTTACCGTCTCACAGTGGCTGTATGTTCCAAGCTGGCTTTGAACTTACGATCTATCTGCATACTAGGATCACAGGTGTGTGTTGCAATGCTCAGCTTGAAAAGCTTTAATAAGTAAGGAGGAACCGCATTGATGGTCACCCACATCTGGCAGTCTGTATTGTTCCCACAACTGGCCTTGCAAAGGCCTTCCCATGTATGGGACAGCTTATTCAGGCCCAGGCCTTGCCAGGCAGGAACACCAGTCTGCAGCTGGTAGGTAGGAGGGTTGGGAGACCCATAAAAGGCCTAGTGATGGCCACAGGGTAAGTACTAGGACATGGCCTACAGCATGCTCTGGTTCCTCCAGAGTGAGGTCACATGATGGGGAGGTCTCTGTGTCCTCCTCACATAGCATTCCTCCAGAGAAGATCAGAGCTCACGCTGCATTCCTCCAGAGAAGATCAAAGAGCACACTGTATCCTCTTTCTTTTCCCGCAGAATATCGACATCACCAACTTCAGCAGCAGCTGGAACGATGGGCTGGCTTTCTGTGCTCTGCTTCACACCTACCTCCCAGCCCACATACCCTATCAAGAGCTGAACAGCCAAGACAAGGTGAGGCACAATAGGGTGGCCTTACTCACCCCACGCTTGCTACACAGCAGCCTGCCCCAGCTCACTGTCTTGGGACTGCTTGTTTACAAGCCAGTCCCTGGTCTGCCCAGAATTGCCCATGTAACATCATTCCCATGGGAGTAGTTGGTTCTTCTCAGGTGACAACTTTCAGGATCGGGGCTTTAAGAGGTGCCACAGAAAGCTGACGGTGGCATGAGCAGTCAGGGCAGTGCCAGCTAGCCTGTGCTAACCTGTAACCAGCACTTGGCTCACAGCCTCTTCTACACCATGGGTCTCAGAAACAACAAGGCATCCATTCTTCTAGTCTGGGCTGCGATTGAGGTATCCCACTCAGAAGGTTCTTGGACTCCCCAGCTTTCCCTTATGGCAGCCCAAGCCCTGTAGAAAACCATTGGAGATCCCACGAGGAAGAATAGCCTTTTGGCAGGTGTGTGCGTTAGCTTCTGGGCATCTGTATCCGGTTAGCCGAGGCCCTTGTGCTAGAATGCAACCCTCTGAGTGAGGAAAGAATAAGCAGATAGAGCTGTAGCTAGCTTGAGGGGAGAGTGTCAAGGCCCACAAGGGGTTACTGTCTGTCCTTCACGATCTTCGGTTGTCTGTACACTGCACTGACACGACTTCTTTTACAGAAAAGGAACTTCACCCTGGCTTTCCAGGCAGCTGAAAGTGTTGGAATCAAATCCACCCTGGTAAGCCCACACCTTACTGAGGAGTTGCTGACAGTGCCTGCTGCCTAGGAAAAGTGGTCACAGGCGGGCTGGGCTGAGGGTGTGGAATGCTCGTGCGATCAGCTGCTGCACCAAATGCTTCTCTGAGGAGACAGCCAAGGAAGGGGTGGGCAGCCTGTGACGCGGGTCCCAGCAGCCCATGGGGGGTTGCTCCTCGTGATTATCTGTTCCTTAGCAGAGTCTCTGGGTTCAGGGGGATTGTGTCCCTGTTAAATACATTTTGCACAAGGCTGTGTGCCTTTTGTTGGTCTAGAGGATGAGGGCCAGGAGCGCCCCTTGTCCAGAAGATGTTCTGGAAGTTACACAGCCCTGCCCACAGTTCCTCACAAGGGCCACAGGAAGGTGCTGAAAATACTGCGTGTGATGCAGGACACGGGTTAAGGGAAAATGAGAGTCCTTTCTTAGGCTTCCTCCCCACCCCAGCTGGACTCACACAGACAGGCACCTGTCAGGGGCTCTTGCTGTCCTCTACAAGCCTACCGCTTCCAAATGCAGAGGGATGCTTCAACAGCTAAGAGAGACAGTGCCTAGACCTGCTCCTGCTCAGGGCTTTGCACAAAAGGAAGGACCCTGTAGGACCATAACATTCTGAGGACCCTGGGATACCTGCAGGTGTCCAGGTCTGCCTCTCCAGCCATGGGTACCCATTACCTTGACTTGCAGTACCTTCATGGGCCTTGAAGAGTTATTTATGTTCGTAGTTACCCTGAATTCATAGAAGCAGACTTACTTAAGGTAACTTTTATCCAGCTGTATAGGAAGAGATCAGGTACATAATGCAGTTGGACATTTCGTACCATGTATAAGTATTCTCATACATGCAAAGTGGCTAACTAGGTGTCTTAGCCTAAAAAGGGATCTTATAGTCCCAAGATTCATTCGTGAAGCCTTATTTTCTGAAGTACTCAGGGTAGCCCATCTCACCTCACATGCTCAGGGATACTTCTGGGTTCCTCAGCTGTGAAACAGCCCTCAGACTACCTGGCCCTGCCTTCTAGTTTGCAGCAGCACTTGTGACAGGTGCTGAGACTCTGGGGCCAGGAGTAGTCAGCTTCCACACTACAGGTCACTAGGACTCTACAACTGAAAAAAGAAAAGTCTTTGATAACTTCTGACACACCATGGTGCTGTGGCCCCGAAGGGAAGTCCTTCTGGCCTTGGCAAGCTATGGCTGGGGCAGAGAGAAGACCCTGGTGGCACAGGAGTGTGACTTGGGATGACCCTGATAGGAAGGGGTACACATAGGGGCTGTAGGTGGAGGTAGAGTAGGTGCTTAGTGTGTCCTCTCAAAGAGTCAATAAGCCTTGGACTAAAAGCTGTCTGCTGCTTGCTGGAACTACAAGTCCGTGGGATAGTCTAGGAAGGCAGATGAGCCCTAACCAAGCCTCTTCTCTACCAGGACATTAATGAGATGGCACGCACCGAACGACCGGACTGGCAGAACGTAATGCTGTATGTCACAGCCATCTACAAATACTTTGAAACCTGAGCACACGGGAGGAGCTGCTGCTACCAACTAGGGACCTCTGCGGTCACCCAGTGACACCATTAGCTAGAACCCCTAAAGCTTTCAGCGACTCTGGGCCTCCCTGCAGGGAGTATGCCCAGCTCTAGGCCTCTGCCTTGGAACTGGACCTGCAGACCAGAGCTCTTCTATGTGGCCATCCTCAGGAGCAGGAAGCACAGCACACAGCCAGCTTACTTCCAGAGACGTCAAGCTCCATCGGGGCCCTGAAGTGTAAAAGCAGGAAGGCTTGTGCCCAGCTCGCCTTGGGAAATGGGATAAATTGTGGAAGCCAGGGGTTAGTGGACGCTTTAGCCATTGTGCTTCTTGACTGTCATCCATGTACTTTGATTCCCAGTGCTGGGACAGAGCTGGCCTTGGTCCCTTTGTGTAGGCCTGGGTTCTAGGAATGTGTCAGAGAAGAGGGTTGTTATCCTTTCCATGTGACAGGGCTGTCCTAACCTCTACGGTTTAACTTAGGAGTCTCAAAAACCCAGCTTCCAGGCCCACAGCTAGCTGAGTCTACACTGCCACCAAGCAGACTTTTGTCAGCAAGAAGCAGGTGGCACATGTGGTGGGTGCTTAGCCACTTGCCTCTGGCCCCAGGGAAAAGACCAGTCACAACAAGTTCTCCTAGTCAAAGTTGTTTTATTACAAGCAATATTGGGAAAATAGCTCCTATTTTGTTAGTACCAAAGTTATTTCTTTCAGTAAGCATACAAATAAAACACAAAATGTGGGTGTTAGCATGGCAAGGGTGAGGATTCATGCTGTAGGGAAAGGAGAAGGCGCTTTGAGAAGCTGAAGATTCAAATCACTGATGGCTGCCCCTCCAGGGCAGGAGTTAAGACAGTGCCTTAGCCCTGCATCAGGCAGCCGAGCCCACACCTTCATGAGATTCCTGCATGTTGGTGGGGACTCTGTGGTAGAGATGGCTCCACACTGTGCCTGGGGTAAGCGGCCTACATCACGAGCCAAGGCCTTACTCAATTCTATTGATTTCTGCCTGGAATTTAGCAGTCCCACTTCAGGAATAGGAAACCCTTATCTCACGTGCCTGACACAGAAGCTGCTGTTTGAACAATGTCAAGACCTGTTATTTCTGGGATACACTCATTTCACCTGCAAGACACCACGGAGAAGACCAGCCATTAGTAGAAATGGGGCCACAGCCTCAGTAACTAGAGGCTTGCCCGGTTTGAACACGGACTGAGTGAAGTTCTGTCTTCAAGCATAATGCTTTATACTGGGACCTGGGTGTGTCTATGGAACCTAGAGAAGAAAGTAGTTATTAGGAAGTGGGCTGTGTCTGCATGTGTTGCATAGACGGTCAGTCTCTCTCATCCATCCTGCCTAAATGTCCGAATCTGGCAGCTCACGCTGCACAGTGTACCAGAAGACCCCTATTATTCTGGCTGTCCTGATGCCTCTCCGGTCCTCCTTGGCCCAATTCTGTTCTTGCTCTTGTTCTGTTGACAAAGACCTGTCAGGGTGACTGACCGTCCATGTGAGAGTCACCGTTTCCACACGAGTCTCCACTGATTCTCTGGGCTTCCAGTGCATACTGTCATTGCCTTCACTGAGGCCTGTCCACTGTGCACCAGGGTGTTTGATCTGAGGCCAGGCTTTATTTATTGCGTCGTGAAGAAGGGTTGTCTTGTTAAAGAGACTTTCCTGAGCTTGCAGTTCACAAGTTGTGTCCCTCACTGGCTGTATGAGCCTAGCCTCACGTCAGAGTAGAAATCACCAGAGTTTTCTGAAAGTATTTGCAGTAAGTTGGCTGCTGCTGAAGGGGCTTGTCCATATAGAGATAACGTTTCTGTTCTGGAATCTGTGGACGTGGGATAGGCCTAGAGCCAGTAGCGGGGATAGATGGTGTGCTAGGGGCCCCTTCCCCCAGACTCTGGCACCCATCAGAGCCAGGGCCAGGCTGCCCACATTTGTGTGAGGGTCCAAAAGTCTACAAGTAACTCCAGACCATTGCTTTTTGCCTTCTGATAGACCCTTAAAAGAGCACTGTTGGCTCTGTGGACAAGCTTGTAGATGGCCATGTGCTTTTAAAAGTAGTATTTGGGAGTTGGGAGAACACCTGTCTACAATGCTCAAGGCCTGGGTTGATCCCCAACACCACATAAACCTGTAATTCCAGTACTTGGGAAGTGGAGACGGGAAGATCAGGAGTCCCGAGTTATTGTCGATTATATGATGAGTTTGATGCCAGCCTTGGCATGTAAGGTCCTCTCCCCCCAAAAGGTGGTATTTGGAGGTTCTCTTATTCTAGGACTGCTTCCTCCAAGATGCAAGCTTGCCCGCCTCTCTTCCCGAAAGCACAAGCTTCACTACAAAGGGCCAGTTACCGTTCTACTTCCTTTGTCACGGGCTTCTGCTGATGAATGATACTCTGTCATTTTGTTCTAGTAAATACTCTTGAATGTATTAAATTGTCATGCTTCGATTTTCTGGTTTGTTCGCCCTCTCTGCTGCCCCTCTGACCTTACGCAAGCCAGAATTCCCAGCCCTCCTGTGGAATTGGAGTAGAAGGCATGGGTTCACCTGCTATTGCACCCGCCATGCGGGCTCAGGCAGGTCTGCACAGACAGTGAAGGAAATGGATGAGCCCAGAGGTTCTGACCTGCCCTGAAGCCATGTGCTATTTGTGGCCAGTCTCAAGATCCCATATTAAGGCTAGTACTTCCCACAGGAGCCTTTTCATGAGTGAAGCTTCAAGCATAGCCCACGCATTGGATCGGGATGTCCCAAAAGTTTTTGTTTGGTTTTCTTTTCTTTTTTATAAATGCCAACTTCTTAGAAATGGATTTCATGATGCATAAAATTACAGGAGTGGAACATTCTTCCTAGTGGCAGCTAGTTAGGCAGTTTTCCCTGTGTATGTGCTATATAAGTCTATGCCTTTGAGCTGTGTGTACCCCAGCTCCGTGTGCATCTGGTGTGCAGTATTTTCAAATTCAGTGTGATCAGGGTGGACAGCACTTTCTTTCCACTTTGCACATGTCACATGCAGAAAAGGTCTGTGGGCTTACCATCTATACACAAGATACCCATGATGAGCATCCTGCCCAGAATTTGGGGTCTCAGAGAAGCCAAGACTCCATCTGACCTGAGTTTGGATATGTCCTCAGAGTGCCCACAGGCCATGACCTCCAGTGGAGCCGACACTTCAGGTGCCCAGGACAACCCACATGACACTAACTCAAGCCTGGAGTAAATAAAGGCTCTCTGCTGAATTTTGGGAGCTGTCATGGCAGGGGTCGGACCAAGACTGCTCTAGCTCCTCCTCACTGTCTGAACACTGGATTTGCGACCTCTAAGCAGATAGCAGGAGCCTGTTGCATGTCTAGAGGAGTGCTGACCCTGCCTGTGGCACTTTGATCTGTCCTGGAGATAGCATGGGTCCCGCCAGAGAAGGAGTTTCCTAAGTCCTGCCCACTGTATTATATGCTGGTCCTGAGGGGTTCCTGTGTAACCCAGTTTATCTGCCAGGAGTCCCCTGATAGCATCCTTCTTTATCGGAGCCCTGGTATTGCCTGTCCCTGACAGTACCTTGACATGAGAGGTTCTGAGCATTGAGAGGCAGCTCTATTGGAAAAGGAAAATAGGTTCCTGGGAATAAAGAGGTAACTAGAACGTTTCCCAGACCCCTGTATCCACAGCCTCTGGGAGCCAGGGCACCCAATGGCCAGCTCTTGCCCCGTCCTAACATGGTTATTTTTCAAAGTCTCAGAGGGTCTACATTGTTTGAGGTGGTTCCTCCAGGGGAAGTGGTCAGATGTGAATGGTCTCAGTGTGGGGCCACTATGCTCTTAAGTTGAGTGGAAATGGTGAAGTCTCAGACTGCTGAGACTCCGTTCTGGGGAACTCTGACAGCAGCCAGTTGGATTCCCCGGGAAGCCAGAGATAGGAGAGGAAGCCACACACATGGGGGCTGAGCTGGCATGACGATGGTCACAGGCATGTGGCTTACCAGTTACTACCACCAGGCCCAAAGCAGTCTGGAATGACTGGTCTTTGTCACCAAGAGTTCCTAGAGGTGTCTGCAATGCCCTGTGTGTGAGGAGGGGCTGGCAGGGTCTCTGCAGCTTGGGAGCTGAGTTCTAGGAAGAGAGAATGAGATCTTGGGATGGCTATGGGCAGGTGTGCTCTGCATGCTGTTCCTGTGTGGGCCGGACACCAGGATCTTCCCCCAAGGTGGACATGCTCGAGCTGTTCTGACCTCTGTGGGCTCCTGCTGCCAGGCATCCTTTAATGCGAGAGAGGCCTGGTGCATCCCAGGGCCGAAGGCACAGAGCACAGGGAGATGACTTAGCGCCATCCCTGGGGCTGCCTAGTGATAACCCTAGCGTAAGGGGCTGCCGAGCACAGTCACCTCCCACCATGGGGCCAAGCGGAGGCCGCACACACCTCTGCCTGTTTGCCTGACTACAGTACTGCACCAGATTAGCTCCGGGGTTGGACTCCTGGTCAGCTGCTCCCGGTCCCAGTGGTGAGAGGTAGATGTAGGATGGAGCATTTTCCCACAAGGCTATAGGTTGGGAGGGAGTTGCCGTCCTGTCTGCCATGCTTTGGACAACTTGGGCTGCTTCCGCTCACAGCATTTTGCCCTTGCGGGGGTGTCCCTCTGAGGATGAGCTTAGCCTCTTGCTCAAGAAAAAAAATTGAGCACTTGGGGTGGCCTGGGGCTCTCAAGGGACTTGGCCTAGAGCCCACTAGGTCCATAGTCCCCAGTCTTGGCGTGTCTTGTTCCCTGATGTGGCCCAGCTGGCCCTAGAGCAAACAATGAGGGCCAGAGGCCACGCAGGTGCATCCTGGGCAGGAACAAAGGGCTGGGGGGTAGGGTGGAGGAGTAGTCTGAGAGTGGAATTCTGGAACATGACAGAGCCCAGCTGGCCCCATGGTTGGGACTGAGGAGTTGGGACCAGGGTATAAGGAAGGGTGAGCAGCTGTAACCTTCAAAGACTGCCTGAGGCTAAGCCCAGAGCTAGAAACCAGGCGACCAGGGACCAAGGGACCAAGCACACTGTCGGGCAGGATCCGCTAGGAACAGGTCTATACCCTCTGCCTTTGAAGCCATTTCAGGAAGGCCCAGGCTCCCAGCACCCATGCAAAGCCCGCATAAGTGGGAAGGGAGATAGGCCAAGACCAAAGTGAACCTTTATTGTCTGGGAAGGTCTGAGCCAGCCTTTCGTGGCTCGGCACAGCTCTTCATGGCCATGTGGGCCTGTGGTGCTGAAGCCAAGCCACGCTCTGCCTGACCATGGTGGCCTTAGGACACAGTTTTTGTGGTGGGATGCTGCCCATCAGAAGTTAAGGGTGAGCTGCAAGGACCAATGGCTTTGTTCTCCCTGAAGGCCAATCTTGGAAAGGAAGCCTTACTCCCTGGGTTAGGTGATGGCTACAGTACACCAGGCAAGACCCTGTAGGGCATAGTTCCCAGCCTTCTTAATACTGAGGCCCTTTAATACAGTGCTTCATGTTGTGCTGACCCCCAACCATGAAATTATTTTCATTACTGTTTAATGACTAATTTTGCTACTGTTGTGAGTCAGTGTTAATTAATATCTGCTGTGTCCTCTGGTCTTAGGCGACCCCTGTGAGAGGATCATTGGGCCCATGAAAGGCTCATGACCCACAGGTTGAGAACCACTTCTCTAGGGGGCTCCTGGGGGAAGGTTCTGGGTCTTGGAATTGGAGTGGCTGAGAAGAGAAGCATCAGGAAAAAGGAGGGACCCTCAGAACTGGGCAAGGGTTGGCTTCTACCTCATGAGTCCCCATGGCGCCTTCAGGAGGATTTTCAAGATGGCATTCCCAGGACTCGAGTCAGACCTGAATAGGAAGGATGGTGCTGCTCCTGCATGGGGAGGCCCAGAAGCAAGGATGCACAGTCAACAGCTTGGTTTTGTCCCCTTCCTAACCCTACCTATGGTACTAGCTGCTGGCACGTTCCAGGAGGCGACTAAACGGAAATAACCACAAGCCTGGAAGGCCTATGGCAATGCATGCCAGTGCCAGGGCAGCCCCAGGTCCTGCATGATGGTGACTGTAGGCTTCTTCACCTGGGGAGTGAAACTGGGATGGCAGTACCCCAGTCTCATGTGCGCCTCCAGGGGGTCTATTCAGATTGCATGCGGGCTCCCACTCTAACCAGATCTGCGCGCACACAAGCACACACAAGCATGCCCACCCTCCACCCTACAGATGCTGTCACACTGATGGGGCCTGGGCTCATCAAATGGAAACAGGAGGCCAGACTTGGGAGGGATGAGCCAGGGAAGCTGCCGGGCCATTGAAGTCAAGCCCTGGAAAGTGACAATCACCACTGCAAAGGTAGGTATTTGGCTTCTCCAAGGGCTAGGCACCTGCGCACTCATGCCGTCGTCGTCCTCCCCCCGTTTCTGTGACATTAAAGGGTTGCCTCTGAAGAGGTATTCCTTCCCATCCAGACCTCAGCCCTGGGGTCTAGCCTGGTTCTCAGCAAGCCTCTCCCCACTTGCCTCTAGATGACACCCTATAGGTTCCAGGAGGTTTTAGAAGACAAGATTTCCAGAAAGGTCTTGGCCCTCAATGCCTGGATGTATGAAGGGCAATCTATTCTTTCTGTGAACAGACTGATATTTGTAAATCCATCCAGAGACATGAGTTCAAGGCCGACTTGCCGTCCAGCCACCTCCAGAAAAAACTAGGGTGGTGAGAGTAGGGGATTCCCAGCTCAGACTTCTGAGAGTCCTAGTTAGCCTGTGGTGCAGATGCAACTCCCCCTTTGCTCTGTAGTTCAGACAAGTTGGGGTTGGGGGGAGGAGTCACGGCCCCACAGGCACCAGGGGTGTAAGAATAGAAAAGGACCCCGGTCTAAAGTCGGATATGGAGCGGTAGAGGCAGTAACAAAACACCAGCTCCCATAAAGCGCAAAACTGGGAGCATCAGAGCCGCACCGGCAGCCTGATGCCTCGTGGAGGAGCCACGGAGAGGGGTGGGGCGCCAAGGCTTCATGGGTGGGGGCACTCGGTGGGGGTGGGAGTGGCGCTGCAGGAGGCGGTCAGGACGCGTGGACCAGAAGCGTCCACGTTGGGGCAAGGGGTGCTTTGCTGCCAGACCCATCATGACCTAGCCCTCCCGGGACCACTTCCTCTGATTCCCGCCTCCGGACCTCGGTTTCCCCCAGCGGCGGGGCGGGGCGGGAGCAGCGCTGGTTTCGAAGTCGCCTGCAGGGTGCGCCCATGAGCGGCGCGGCCGGAGCCGGAGCCCGAGCGGCCGCTGAGACGGTGGGAGCCGGCGCAAGAGGCAGGTCAGCCGGGGGCCTGGGTCTGGGGAGTCCTGGGGGTCGCGAGCCGGCATCTTGGCGATTGTGACCGTCGGATTGTGCGGGACCGGGAGGTCTGAGCAGTTCAGGACCCTCCCGCCCCTCGGAGCACCCGCCTCTCCCTCGGACCCTTCCTTCCTGCTGTCGGGAGGGGACTCCGCGGGTACCAGGGTCCCAGCCTGCCCTGGCTGCTTCGGAGTGGTCGCGGCCGGGTTCCTCGGCGCGGGTCACATCCCAAGTGCGGTGCCCTCGGGGCGGTCCTCAGCGGCCGGAAGGTGAGCTAGGGGCAGGTAGCACGGAAGGGGCTCGAGTAAGGCAGGGCGGCGGGATGCCTTACAGTCTTCTAGACCCGCAGGCGACGTGCGGCCACGGCCGTCGGTTTGTCCGCGCAGAGGACTGAACCTGCAAGCTCACAAGTCCCTTTAGGGCGCGTCCCTGCCAAGGCTAGGCTGCGGACGTCGAGGCGCGGCCGGAGGTAGGCGGGTCAGACTCGCGGGTTAGGGGTTCAGGCGGGCACTAGCTTGCAGCCAGGAAGGCATGGTGAGATCAGGGGAGTTTGGAACCCGAGGCATGGGAGCATCCTGTTGACAGTGTGGCAGGAACCCGACTTAGGACACTGTGGAGAGGCCAGAGAACAACAGGGTGGGTGAGTGCCTGGGGCTGCCCGAAGCAGGGGGCAGAAATGGCGGGAACGGTGGCAACTCTCAGGGGTTTGGCAGAAGATGGGCAAGGGCTCTGCCTTTGGAACATTTAGACTAATTGTGCTGTCCAATACGAAGGGAGGAGCAGAGATTCAGTGGTCTGGAGCGACAGAAGCAGCTGGCAGGTAGACGCCAGAACTCCTCTCCACAACTGAGGCAGGCAGAGCATATGTTCTCCTGATGGCTGGGGAGGGATTTGGATCGCTCTCCTTACCCACCCAGAGGCCGCAGCTTGTCTCACTTTGAAGGGAACCTGCTTTCTGCCCTGCTACCTGGAACGCAAGAGCGCTTGGTTGCCCTAAGCTCTGCCCAGCTCCCCCTGGACCCCTAGACGCCACTCCGTGTGCCTTTCAGGAGACTGTCACACCCAACCAATACTGCCCTGGTGTCCCGACCTTTAGGATGTTGCTGGAGAGCTTTTAGGGAACATGGGGTTGGGAAGACCCTGCTTGCTTGGGTCTTCCAGGGCTCCCCCAAAGACTGGTGGGTCTGTGACTATGGTATCAAGATCTCAAAAACCCAGTCCTTGCATTCTGGGACTTCCCAGGTTCTCTCCGGTCCTGGTATCTCTTGGGCAAACCCCAGCCAGTGTGCATTCTTTCACAGCTGACCATGACTCTTTTGGGGGCAGAGCTGGCCTCCTCATTCATGGCTTGAAGTTAGACTAAGGGCTGCCCACACGTGTAGTAAGGGACAAACTCTGGGCCAGGCAGAAGAAGTAGTGGCTGATTTCCAGGGCCCTGCAGAGGGATCAAAGATTTTGGCGTCCCAATCTGGGTTTTGATCTTGTCCCTTAGATGCATACTAAGTGGCCTTGTGAAAGTCACTGCCTGGGGATTCGATTTTCTCATCTGTAGAGTAATGCTAGCACACAGGTGTATAGAGGAAGGCAGGGAGATACTCTTTGGCTTGGCATGGGGATAGGTTCAGCGGAAGGGGTGGTGGCAGCGGTAGCAGTGAGGTTGTGGGCAGGATATGCCAGAGGACAGGTCAGGGGACTCTGTGCTTAGACTGGGTACCCCTGGAGGAAGAGGTGTGGATTGTTATGAGTAGAGAGAAGTGTGGACAAGAGTTAGCTTGGGAGCAAGCATATGGCCCCAAGGTGTCAGGTTCTGCAAAGTCCAGGACCTGTAAGTGGGACCACAGCCCCTGGTAACTCGGTTGGTGCCTGAAATCAGCAGCTCTGGCCTCTAACCTGCCTGTTCCTGAGCTGCCTCACCTCGTAGAAGCTACAGTCACCATCTCAGTGTCTTGTTGATACGACCCAACCCAGGCCCTGGGTAGCGTGTGCATATGAGAGTAGAGGGAGAGACAGCTGGGCAGATTGATAGACAGATAGATAGATAGATGAGTGATAGATAGATAGATGAGTGATAGAGTGATTGAGATAGATAGATAGATAGATAGATGAGTGATTGATAGAGAGAAGATAGAGAGTGATAGATAGATAGATAGATAGATAGATAGATAGATAGATACATAGATAGATAGATAGATAGATAGATAGATAGATAGATAGATAGATAGATCAGTGAGCACAGGCAGGAAGGGTTTTGGTTTTTGTTGTTTGTTTTGTTTTTGTGATTTTTTTTGAGACAGGGTTTCTCTGTGTAGCTTTGTAGACCAAGCTGGCCTCGAACTCACAGAGATCCACCTGCCTCTGCCTCCCAAGTGCTGGGATTAAAGGTGTGCATCTTTGGCAGGAAGGGTTTTGATGAATGTGATGAAGGAGCTGAAGAGGTGGAGCAGATAGATGGATGAATAGATATAGAGTGATAGATAGATGATAGACAGATAGATAGATGATACATAGATATATAGATGATAGATAGATAGATAGATTATAGATAGATAGATAGATAGATAGATAGATAGATAGACAGATAGATAGATGACAGAGTGATAGTTAGATTGGTGGGCACAGGTAGGAAGGGTTTTGATGAATGTGATGGGGAGCTGAAGAGGTGGGGATCCATAGCTGAGGATGTTGCTACAGACAGGAACTAAGCTGGCAGAAGAGAATCTCCCAGCTGCCATGGAAGGATCTGGTCCCTGGGACACACTGGGGACCACACAGGGTAGATAGTGACCTGGGGAACTCAGAGGAGGAAAGTAGTGGGGAGGTTGTGGGGGGCAGAGGTGGTGCACTGCTTGAGGACAGGCCCTAGGTTCATACTAGGCTCCCAGTAGTAGGAAAAGATTAGGGGTACAGAAAGGGGCCCCTGGAGACTGTGTATGTCCAGAGCGAGGCCCAGAGCCTGCGCTGGGTAAGGAGCCGTGTGGTGCAGAGAAAGTGCCAGCCCTGAATCTGGAGGCCACAAGCAGGGATGGAATGAGGGGAAAGAGCAGCCACTCTCGCTCAGGGCCTGGGAGGGGTCAGACACTAGGACGACAGGCCTCATGCCCTTTTCCAGGGTTACCTCTAGCTTTACGTGACAGGTCTCTATCCAGGGGCTCTAGCTGGAGGAGTCTTTACACCTGACCTCACAATGACCTCTGGGAGCCATGAGCCAGGCGGGTGGAGACACTGATGGGCAGAGGGGCAGTGGCAGGGGTCCGGGTGCAGCAAGCACACTCAGGTTGGTCCAGTGCACCCCGCTCTTTCCCTTCATCCGTTATGGCTGCATCATCACAGCCGTGTCCTAAGGAGCTCAGCGGTGGGTGGGTCTGCATCCCTCATTTCGAGCGAACCCGCCAGCCTCCTGTCCAGGGTTCCACCCAGGGACCCCTTGTTCTCTCTTCAGGAGGCACAGTACCTGTCATCCACTATTCATGGCAGGCGCAGGGACTGAGCCTTTCATGTGACGCTCTCCCCATGGCCTGTGCACATGGGAAAAGCTAAGGCACAGTGGCGGGGGGGGGGTTGTGATGGACATAGCATGGACCCTACAAGCCACTCCCACCACAGGCTGTGCTCCAAGCATCTCTGTGAGGCCTGGGGCTATATCTGGAGAAGCAGCCGGCAATGGGTGAGTGCCATCTGAGGTGAGGACTGGGGTCCTGTGGTCTTACTGGTACCAAACCTGGACAAGTGGGCATGTCGGGGTTTACTCTAGGACTCTCAGTGGGAAAGAAGAGAGATGCGGCTGACCAGTAGCCTTGGAGTCTAGACTAGGGTAGCCTGGCTTCTGGCTGGTGTCAGAGAAATTAGAAAGGCAAGCTAGTGCCCCGGCCTCCAGCTGCAGAGAGCTGGTTCTCCCTTCCTGCCCACATCCTGTCCCCAGGAGCATAACAGCAACCACACACTCATGGTTGGTAGGGGAAGGACGTACTGGTCACCTGCTTGTGTACTTGGGGCCCAGTCTTTACCAGATATTGGAATTTGGGTGCTGTGCATTTCTGGAGAGGCCCAGGAAGGGAAAGGAGACCCAGAAGTCTCAGAAGGTACCTAGCTTGTTGACTGATGTGTTGGGGAGGGGCTCAGTAGGCTTGGAGTCTTCCCGCAAGGACAGCTACTGTCCTTTGGGTGTAAGAGGCACCAGCCCATCCCGCTGTGACTCTTGCTTGGTTGTCATTCCAATTATCAACTGCTTCCCAAGGACAGAAGCTGGATCTCTTCAACCTAGACTTTGTCTCTGGTTCCTGTAAGAATTCCTCGGTGTTCCCTTCCATCTCCCAGTGCCTTGATCCTCAGCTGCCTGCAGGACCAAAGCCTATCGCATATGGCATGCTCTTTATTTGACCCCTGTTTTTCCTGTCCAGAATCTTTTGTTTCTTGCTTGTATTTGCTGTTGTGTTCTAGAGAGTTTGCTAGCTCTCATTCTTGTTCATGGCTCTTCCTTTGTAAAGTATCTAAATTATTGCCATGTAGGCCATATCCTCTCGCGTGGATTTGATAATTTTATTTTTCTTTCACGGGTTGGCTTTTTGTTGTTGTTGTTTTGAGACAGGGTGTAATTGTGTAGACCAGACTGGCCTCCAACTCTGTCTGCCGACAGAGTGCTGGCGTTAAAGGTGAGAGCCACATCTGTTCTCTTTCGTACTCTTGGTTTCTTCTTGCATTTTGAAATCTGGTTTGCAGCTCACCTGAAGTGGGAGATAAGGTCCTGGGGATCCGGGCATGGCCTCTGTGTGTCTGAATCTCTAAGGTGACAGCTGTGGTTGAAGAATTCCCAGGTTCTTGTCTTCTGAGACCCCTGCAGTAGATTCCAGGGATGCGGGGAGCAAAGGGGTGGCAGGTGGCTCAGACGTCCCCGTGGCCCAGAAGACTAGGTAACTGGTGCACATTGCCTATGAGCAAGAGGCAACATGGTACAGTGGCGCAAGCCTGTGATACAGCACTTAGGAACTAGAAGCAGGAGGGCCAAGAATTCAAGATTATATTTGGCTACGTAGCAAACTTAAGGCCAGCCTGGGCTTCAAGGGACCTGTCTCAAAACAAAACAAAATCGTAAGGCTGGGGTTTCAGAGCCCAGGAAGAAGCCCAGTACCGCTGCAATGGGCAGTCTTTGTGCTGCTCTGTTCCGTGTGCTTGGCTGCACCCCGGAACAGTGTGTGGAGCGCTGCCTGGGAGCTAATAGTCATATCCATCAGGGTCTGGAGCTACCCCCTGGGCATGTGTACACAGAGCCCGGGGTGGGTCAGGAGATATGTGGGTTGGGATTAAATGGTTTTAATTAAAGTGGCTGGATCAGGGTGGGAGTGAATGGGAAGGAAGAGGCAGTGTTGAGTCTGACTGCTGGGACCCTAAGGGGGTGTCCCTTCAAGTCTTGTTGATGAGTGTCCTGTAGCATGTGCCTGTAGCTTACCTGGGACAGTTTCTGCACCCTGCCCTGTCCCCAATAAAGGACAATCCTAAGGAAATGCAGCATTATTAATATTTAATTTCCACTCTTGGCTAGCAACAGATGACTCAAGGATTAATTCGATAGAGGCAACAGAGAGGGATAGGAAATTGCTAGCTCCAGCCTCTACACTGGTCCCTTTCCCTGGGCCCCCAGCCTTCCTGTGACTCTAGAGCAGTGGTTCCCAACCTTCTTAACGCTGTGACTCTTTAATACTGTTCCCCATTTTGTGGTGACCCCAACCCATAAAAATCCTTTTCATTGCTACTTCATAATTGTAATTTTGCTCCTGTTAGGAGTTGTAAGTATTTTCTTAGAGGTTTGTCAAAGGGGGTCGGCACCCACAGGTTGAGAACCTCTGCTCCGGAGGTTTCGCAGAGAGGGAAGTCTTCACCGCGTCCCTTGGCGTTCTCCAAGGACTGTGCCACCCTCTCTCATCCCTGATAAAGCTGGGAGCCTTTTCACCTATTTGAGCTGCAACTTCTCACCTGAAAAATGGAATTCACCAGGCTGTCCGGAACACAGCTTTCCGTCATTTTCCAAATTCCCAGACAGCGCACACAAACTCCTCAAGGGACCCAGGGTAGCCTTGGTATTCAGATCCATGGCCACCTGGAGATCAGAGGGCTTAGCGGTTCAGCAGTGGCTGACATTTCTAGGCCGTGTGTGTGTGTGTGTGTGTGTGTGTGTGTGTGTGTGTGTGTGTGTGTGTGTGTGGCTTAGTCTGGTCAGTGATACATTAGCAGGTTTGAATTGGCCCAGTGGGAACGTTCATACTACAAAGAAAAGCTTCAAGTCAGGGTGCCCTGGCCCTGGGCTATTTTGCCTGCCTATAGCTAGACAGCCTCAATCTCAGCCTTCCCCTGCAGGGCTCCTCCCTCCTGTCTGTCCTGAGAGTGCCTCTGGCTCCACTGATCTGCTGGACTTGAGGCTGGGGAAGGCACAAATGAAAAGAGAGATTCTGGTTTGGCAGCTGCCCAGGTGGCCCTGGGATCAGAGGAGCTTCCCCTGGGATGCGCTACGATAACTGAGACAGCCTGCAGGAATGTTGAAGGAAGGGCAGAGGAAAGGGCCCTGGGACAGGAACCTTTCGTGTGTCCTCAGCTGATACAAGGCAGGCCTGGCAGGAGGGCCAGCTGTGTTGAGACTGGGGAGCAGCAGGGTGGCCTCAGGACAGTCAGGAAGGGCGCTGGTATCCCAAAATATCCAACGTGAACCCAGCACGGATCACGAGGGGCCTTGAGAACTGGGAGTGCTCAGACAGGTACCAAGGCTGCTGGGAGAACTTCAGCAAATAGTAGGCCTGGGCTAGGCCCCTTATGAGCCAGTGTCCTGGTGACTACGGAGTCAGTACAGTTAGTTCCTGGGGCTCAGCGCTGGTGGTGTGACCATTAGCAGGACTCCAGGCTCAGGGATGGTGTTGTCTCACCTTGACAGAAATGTGTTATATTCTGCTGTGTCCCACCGGGGACCTTGAGGATGGAGGACGGTTAGGGCCTGGGCCAGCTTTCTAACATGGGCTGGTCTAGTTACAGACTGCTTCAGTAGCCATCAGCGCAGTTTCCAGTAGAGAGCGCCTAAGGGACAGATGGTTACCCTTCCCACCCCCAGAAGATACCAGTAGGGAGAGTCAGGATTCTTGGAAGGCAGCAGCTTTCCAGGGGCTCACTGGGCCTGGTTGGGCCTAGTTGAACCTGGTTGGGTCTGGTTGGGCCTAGTTGGGCCTGATTGGGTCTGGTTGGACCTGGTTGAGCCTGGTTGAGTGTGGTTGGGCCTGGTTGGACAGTGAGCCTGCTGTAGCTCCCAACCTTGAAAGCTAGAGCCCAGGGCAGAAGGTGTTGGTCCTGGGCTTACGGAGGACCCTTGTTGAATGCTCCTGTGAACTGTAAGCCTTGGGCATAGAGGGGCCCAGAGGTAGCACACATATGCATTCTGAACAGCTAGTTGACAAATGGCCTGCGCAAAGCCAGGACTCCCAAGGAATTAGCTGCAGGTGTCTCTGCCTCGCCTTCGGGGCAATGTTGCCGCTTAGGAAGGAGTGGTAATTCTATTGGTTTCTGCGGACTTTAGCTTCCCTCTCCTAGCCTTCGGTATCAACCTCCTAGTTGGGCAGAAGGACTTCCACACCCAGCTACACGGCTGCTGCCATGTCTACTCTGGCCCCACCCTGAAGCGCTGGCAACATCACAGAAGGAAACTTGAGGTTTCTTTATTTCAGCCCCATCTTGCCTCTTGGCCAGTTTCAAGAAGAGAAGGCTTTCTCCCAAGGCCTGCATTTCCGCTTGTCCCTCTGATCCTGGAGGAAAGATGTGTCTACATGCAGGCCCAACCTGGGGTTCCATGAAGGTTCAGAGCTGAAGAGGATGGATTGGGGGTGGGCGAGTCTCTTGGATCTTGCTTGGAGAAAAACAGGCAATTGGGAGAGTTCTGTTTACACTGAATTTTGCAAATTCAGGGGGGTAGAGCAGGAGTTTGAGCTTGGCCAGGGCCTGCTACAGAGAGAGCAAGACTTCCTGTTTCCAGGGGTCTCCGCTATTCCTGTGATCTGACGTTGTGCCTCGGGTAGCCTTTCCAAATCTGTTACTCCTTTCTCAAGGGACCGTGGATAAGAGCTGAAATGAGCCCTTGGTTGCCATCTGGGACCCACTGGTGGTATAGTCTGAGTGGAGAAACTGAGGCGGGGGGGGGATAAAAGCATTCTTGCCCACAGTCCTCCAGTGAGTCCTCCCTGAGCACCTGTTCTTCTAAAACAGCACTCCCTGCATCAGCTAGGCGGAGGGACAGGTGGGGAGAGGCGTGGGAGGAGAGCGGGAGGCGGATCCCTCAGAGAAGGGAAGCAGTCACAGTGCCTGCCCTGCCTGGCTGTGCAGCCGGCTGGCAGGAGCTCTCGGAGCAGTGGCTCTGGCGTGGACCCAGCTTTGTCACCTCTGAGGGTAAGAGTGCTTACTTGCCAGAACTGGAAGATAGGACCATGCAGCTCCCAGGTCCCTCCAGAAAGGAACTCCAAGAGTGCCTGAGGTGACTATAGTGGTGGTGGTGTCCCTCAGGTGGGGATGGTGGTTCCCTGCGGGGATGGAGCAAAGAGAGCCAGGCTGGGAGGCTGGCTCAGTGTGAGAAGGTACATGGGATTTGGAAAGCCCAGGGGGGAGAGAACCTTCCTGGAGGGAGAGTCTCATGGGACTGATATTGAGTGCAGGGACCCAGAAGACTGACCAGGCTGCCGCAGAAAACTTGAAAGCTATGTAAGAGGAGCCAACATAAATATCATTTTGCCTTGACTTTAACTTGCTCGCATAGATTAAACACCTTCAGCTGCTACTCTGAGCGGGGAAAGTGGTAATCGCAGTACCTGGAGTGAGGAAGATGCGTGTTGGGTAGTGAAGACAGGTTATCAGGAGTCCTCGTTCTATCTGCCATCCCTCCCGTGTCTGTCCTGAAGAGACCAGAGGAGGAGCTGCTTCCCTGAGAAGGGTTGGGTGGAAGATCTTGACAAGAAGAGCTTTTCAGGCCTGTGTCCTGACTAACCGCCCCAGATGGGGCAAGACGGGAGTCATTCTCAGGCAGACACCTGTCCCGTAAGTGAGGCGGAATCTGAAGTGGCCAGGGTGTGTCAGCTGCTCACGGCATTCTCTCTTCGCAGGTACCCAGGATCCCTAAAGTTGAGCGGAGCCAGGCCAGATCCCCTGGAGTAGCCATGATTTCAGGAGATGCAGAGTCGTCGGTGAAAGAGCCTTCGGTACACTCTCTTCTCTGGGAACACTCGTAGCTCTTGTGAGGAAAGGGCTGCGAGGCTTGCGTGGGTGGACGGCTGGGCTGCAGCTATGGACCGAGAGCTGGCCCGGACCCGCATCCTTGCTGAGCCCGCCCACGTGTGGCTGCTCCTGCCATGGGCTCCTCAGTGTACATCACGGTGGAGCTGGCCATCGCTGTGCTGGCCGTCCTCGGCAATGTGCTTGTGTGCTGGGCTGTGTGGATCAACAGCAACCTGCAGAATGTCACCAATTACTTTGTGGTGTCACTGGCGGCGGCCGACATCGCGGTGGGCATGCTCGCCATCCCCTTCGCCATCACCATCAGCACCGGCTTCTGCGCCGCCTGCCACGGCTGCCTCTTCTTCGCCTGCTTTGTCCTGGTCCTCACTCAGAGTTCCATCTTCAGCCTCCTGGCCATCGCCATCGACCGCTACATCGCCATCCGCATCCCACTCCGGTGAGCCAGGGCTCGCATCTGTGCGTAAGGCTTGATCCACGTGGGCAGAGCTCTGGGACTTGGAGGTGGTCATGCCTGTCTGGCTTATCCCTATAGGCACGGGGTACCCTGGGCCTCCCCAGGTCACATGTTGAAGCAGTCCTCAGGCAGCCGTGTATGGCTACTGTAAGATGAGGGTGGTCTAGCTCTGATACTACATGCTGCTGGGTGTGAGCTCTTCTTCATACATCCTAAGTATGATCTGAGGTGGGCGGGGGAGCCATGGGAAGCCACAGAACCCCAGCTAGGAACCCGCCCCTGCCACCGCCAGCCTTTCCCTGGTGTGTACATTAGGAGAGTGACCCAGAGAGGGGAAGTGACTTGGCCAAATGCCACAGTGAGTCATTTGGACTTCTATGCAAATGACATCGCTCCTAAGTCTGAGAGGACTCTGCCTGCTGTAGGGGCTGGCTATGCAAAGGGGTTTTTATGGTGGTTCTTTTGTGAAGTGACTTCAGCCAAGTATTGTGTAATAAAGATCTTCCCGGAGGCCTCTTCCCAGCCACCCTGCAGATAATCCAGACAGTGCAATACTGCTCTCCCCGGGACTGCACCTCTGCGCTTTCTACCAGAGCTAGGTCCTGGGGCGGCTGGGGTGGCTGCTGGCCTTGAGGAAGGACTCCATAATGGGGGATTGATTAGAATGTACAGTGAGGTTTTCTATACAAGTGGAGTCCCCGCCCACAAAGGAAGCATCGGTAACTGTGCTGTGGGCTGAGGCAGTCAGCGGGACCAGGCTCAGTGAGCAGTGGAAAAGTCAGGGTCAGATGCAAGAGAGCTTTTAGAGGTCATTTCCTTCCTCTCATCTTCTGGATAGAAAAAAGGAGCTTCTGAGAAGAGGCTAGTGTAGCGGCATCTTGTTCTGCCAACAGACTTGAGGTAATGGCCTTAGGGTGTGGCTTCGGTGTGCAGACAGACATGAGCCCCTTATAAGGAAGAGGAGGGGCTGGCTCGAGCTCTCTTGGGTTGTGGTCGGAACATCCTGCAGGCAGAGGCTGCACCTCCAGAAGGTCACTACGGGCTAGCTCTCTCGCAGCCACACAAGGAGGTGGTAGCAGAGCCTGGGAAGAAGTGTGGCCTGCCGTCACTGTGATGTCAGCCTTGGAGGATTGTCTCGAGTGGCTCCGTGTCCTAGAGGTCGCATCACACAGCCCTTGCTATAATCTGAGCCCTAAGGGAGAGGTGGACACCCACACTAGGCTCCTCAGAACGACGGAGCCTGTGCCTTGTGTTGCTGTAAAGGCTTTGTCAGAAGTCTTTAAAGGACTCAACCAGGCGTGGTTAGCAAGCACATGCTTGCGTCCTGAGACTTGGCGAGAGCTACAGCCTGAGCATGATGAGTTGCAGGCCAGCCAGGAGTCTGCACAAAGACCCCTGTTCAAAGACAAGAAAAATAATCAGAAATAAAGCAGGAGGGACTTCTGGCCAGCTCTAAGAAGGAACAGGGTTAAAGGTCGCCTGCAGGGACAGCCTGCCCCATTGCCTCCACCCCATGCTTCTGAAGTAGATCAAGGTCTAGGTTCCTGCAGGGACAGATTAGAACACAGAGGCCTGGGGGAGTATGCGTATGGGTCCCAGGGGGGTCAATGGCATCTACCCTGGGAGTCTCCCAGTGGTCATTGGCATCTGCCCTGGGAGTCAGGCCCAGCCATGCAGTCGTGGATCACCAAGAGACAGCGGTAGTTCAACACTCTCTCTTTCTCCCAACTCCGAGCAGCAACATATTAGGAAAAAATCACAGTGGCTATTCTCAGCTTAAGGGCTTCAGCTTGCTCTCCTCTTGCTGTCTCTGTCTTCTCAGTATCAAGAGACTTAGTCCCTCAAGTAGGATGGGACGAGTTGTGTGCTTATAGAAAGCTAGGTGCCCTGTGCGGGGCCTGTTTTCTCTGGTGTGACGAGGAGACGAGTTTCTGTGTTGTTGGACTGAGCTCACAAAGTTCTGCGGCTTCAGTAAATGGGTAGGGATGATGGGGCTGGGCAGGGGAGGAGGGGAAGGTTGCAGTTCTCTTGTGAGATGGAGGCTTGGAGCCAACAGCCCACCCCCACTCTAGCTGCATCCCTGACCCTCAGGACCTCCTGACCTCAGTGCCACTTGGACCTTGGCCTCTCTGAGCTCTGAGTGGGGCTTTGGAAAGCACAAGTCTAGTCTCTGCAGGGAGCTGAAAACAGGTCTGAAGATGCCCACTAAGGATATTTCTTCATCTCACCTATGGGCAGTTTTATAGCTACCGTGGAGTGCAGTTTATCCTTTGATCATCCTGGCCCAGTATTTCAGTTGGAGCAGATGTCATGACCCTTGTGAGAGACCAGAGCCGAGAAAGGACATCTTTGTGTCTCCCAATCTAGATGGACTCTAGAGCCCGCCACTGTGTTCCTGACTATTGAACCCCTTCTCTTTCCTGTCCTCTGAAGTTTCTGCTCACTGAGAATGTAGAAGTATCTGTATCAGAGCTCCTGAGAGCAAGCCAGGCATGATGAGGAGATGCAGGACACCAAGGGACCAGGCATGAGGGGTTTTTAGATAGGGAGCGGGAGACCAGGCATGAATGGGGTCTGGAGGGGACCGGGGGACTAGGCACGAAGGGAATCTGGAGGGGGCTAGACGCCCCTGACTAGTTCTGGAGGTGTCTCTAGCTTAGACTCTTCCTTTCTTCCCTTCACAGCCAGGAATAAGCCTCTTCTAAGGTACTTCCTGTGCTGTTGGCAAGGTCCACAGGCTCTAGTCTTTGATGGAGGCATAGTCCCAGGCTTGCACGAGGAATTCTTTTGTTGTCTTAAAGAATTCAGCTTCAGAGTAATCAGTCCCCTCCTTCCTGAGTGTAGGGACCCTGTTAAATTAAAGCAGGGCCTGCAGGGTGATAAAGAAAATGGGTCAAAGGCAGAAATGAAACTGTGTGTGGGCAAGGAATGAAAAGCCTTGTGTAAGAGAGCAGGCCCCCTTTGCTGGGGACCCTTTGTTCCACTGTCTGCAAGTCTCACACTGGCCCCTGGTGCTCTCATAGCCAAAGAACAGGCCAAAACGCACCCAGGAGATCAGCCGGTGCAAGACCTGGAGGGCTATAAAATAAATACACTTCTCTGTTTCCCAAAGGGCACGAGGGCCCGGCATACACACAGCGGTAGAGTGCTCACGTAGCGTGCCTGAGGTCTTAAGCTGTACCCACAAAAGGGAAAGAAAGGAAAGAAAAGAGGCTTTCCATTTAGCTGTAAGCCCCTTCTGGTCTAGAGGCATGGCTCAGTGGTAGAATACCAGTTGCCTAACATGTGTGAAGCCCTGGATTCCAATCTTTCCTCCTCCAGGATGCTGGTAAGGGTGCAGAATCGGGAGACAGCTTGCCCTGGAGGAAGTCTTGCCATATTGATGTTGCAGGGTGTGTGTGGTTTTGGTAGGGTGAAGTGGGAGGGAGGTGTCAGGAGGGTAAACCCTGTCAAAGGTCCCAGGGAAGGGGTGAGTGAGCATGTGGGTGTGGCCCCCCCTCTGGGCTGGAGAGGGGTAGCCTGACTGCTGAGTGGCAGGTGTGGTGTGAGGCTGATTTAGGCTGGTCTCTGTCTATGGAGGGGTTTTGAGTTTCTTCCTTGGGCCAGATACTCTTCAATTCTTAGGTCATTGGCCTTAGAAAGTCCCACCTTCTCTTCAGTGTTGCAAATACACATGGAAACTCCACCTGGAATTATTGGCATGTTCTGGAGCTATGGGGTGAGCCCCCAGTATGGGTAATCAGGATTCTCAGGGAAGGGCTACTTCTAAAGGCTGGTGGACATAGGAATGCAGAGGCCACTTGAATATAGGGGCTGCCGGAGACTCCAGCACCCATTCCCTGAGGCTCCCTGGAATGACTCCATGTCATGCAACCTGGGCATCCTTTTTAGCTGCACAGAATTTATTTACCCAGAAGGCCTGGATGAGACTATGCTAGTCACAGATAAGGCCAGGGTGTGCCCTTGGAATGGCTATGGTGTGTTGGCGATTCCATTTGGACTCTGATGCCATCCTAGACCTCAGACTCCAGCCCCACAAACTTGAATTCTTGATTCTCCTGCCTCTATTTCTAAGCTATGGAAATCTGAACATTACTCCTATTTGTGTGTGTGTGTGTGTGTGTGTGTGTGTGTGTGTTGAAATAATATCTGAATGTGCTTAAACATTCAAAAACAAAGGCCATATAGCCAAATGTCCCCAAGCCCCTCAGTACGTTGCCAACATAGGAAAGTACATCTTATATATTGGGTTCTGTCCCCATAGGGGCTTTCTTTCAAGAATGCAGTGGAAGACTTCCCCTTGTGGGTTCTCCGTAAAAGTAAACTGGACAAACCAGGGATTTCCATAGTGTATTCCCAGAAGCTATCTGTTGTCTCCAACAACAACTTCTTAACTCAGAAATTACTTATTTAGTTGGATCCCTTTCCCAAGACTACCACCTTTCTAACTCCCTGGACCAGGACAAGAAGGCCTGAGAATAGTTGGAAAGCCACCAAGGTGGGAGACCCTACACCACCCCCCGGAAGCTTATCAGTATTCCGGACAGCCCATTTCTCTGAACAGCAGCTGAATAGCTCTGATCCACCCTGAGTCACTCCCTGGGGTTTCCATCCACTAAATTCAGCAGCTTGCCCTTGTGGGGCAGTGGCGATAGGTCTAGAATTCTTAGTTTCATTTTATAAACGAGGACGTCGAGGCCCAGAGAGGTAAAGTGACACAGCATTCCTTGTTTACAGGAATGTACCAGGACTAGTACCCAGGAAGGGTGTGCTTGTCCCAGGAAAGATGTGAACAGTAACATAGCTTCTCCTCCCGTGAGGATCATGTAAAGCACTGTTGAGGGGTACCTGACACAGAGTAAGTATGTGAGTATTAATTAGTCGGGGCGGGGACCCTAGGTCTTCATGCTTAAGCCTCTAGACAGTCACACATGCGATGCTTGTCCTGAGGTGCTAAGTGACTGTAGTAAGTCTAGGACCCTCCTGCACAGGCACGATTGCCGGTGACCAAGGCCCCACTCAGTGGGCCTGGGAGGCTCCCAAAAATGTGCCTGCCAGTAATTGTTTGGATTCTGAATTGACAGGGCTGGAGTGGTAGCTCAGTGGCAGAATGCTTGCCTGTCATACTCCTGTCCCTGAATTCGATCCCCAGCTCCATGGGGGAAGAAACTAAAAGATTCTGAGAAATTCACTTGCGTTTGAGTTGCCCCTGGGCTTTGGGATGTTCACAGCAAGTCCCTGTCTCTCTTTGGGTCTTGGTTTCAGTTTCCCCAGCCCTGAAACAGAGGAACGGATTAGGTAAGTAGTCAGAAACTACTAGCGTGCGTTTGTTTATTTGGCAACATCTAAAATGGAAGATTTTTTTTGCCTCAAAAAATAAAATAAATCAACCATCAAGTCCTTCTTGAGATCTAGCAACAGTGGCTACACGTTTTCTTTCTTTCTCTTCCTTCCTTCCTTCCGTCCTCCCCCCTCTCTCTCTCTTTCTCTCTCTCTCTCCTTCTTCCTTTCTTTATTTCTTTTTTGTATGATGCTTGAACTTAGGGCCTCACACATATGAGGTAGATTCAGCTCTGGCATACATATTACATGGCCATAAAGACAAGGTAGACACATACCAGCCTCCCTCCCCTGCCTGTTATCAGCAGGTACCTGTGTCTGCCACCCAGAGGCAGTAGCCTTTCTGTAGCTGCTCTAAGTCTACAATCAATAAGTGTGTATGTTTTCCTTGTTACCCTACACATAGGCCCCTCTCCTGTAGCTGGCAATATAGAGACAAATGCAGGAGAATCCTACTCTAAGTGTGTTCCCAGCCCCAGATGAGCCCGGAAACTTCTCCAAGATGCCCAGCCTGAACTTGGAGTTCCACTGGGCAGTGGGGAGAGTAGTCTTGCTTTGCCAGAATTGAAACCATTAAACTTAAGTTCATCCCTCAGATACTACCGAAGTTCTTTTTTTTTCCAGTCAAGGAGACCAAAACAAACAAAAACAAAAACAAAAGCATTCTTTTACTAAAGTAATGATGTATTTCCTGTGAAGCTGAGTTTACTTTTGGGTTGACCGATCAAGCCCTGCCCCACCCCCTCCCCGGTCAGCATAAAGAATACTTTCATTTGACCCTCAGGAAGATTACTGTCTTATTTCACACCCCATTCAGTGCCTCTTGATTATTCTGATTGCCAGGAAAATGTCCAGACATAATTGTCTCATTTCCACCCAGAGGACTGTGGGTGGCTTTGAAGTGGGGATGCTATCTCATTTGGCCTGGGACTGCCACTCCTCCTCCATGCCCTGAGCCTTTTCTTGAGGTCTGTGGAGATTCAAGTCAATAGGGAGGAGCAAGCATGGAGTGAGCATGAGCGGCACAGACCTTGCTGGTTCTGTCCCCACCCTGGACCTGTCCTATTCTAAGTCATCATATGAACCAAGATTAACCACCATGGAAGCGGTCCTCGTCCCCCTATGATCACCTGTTTCTCTCATACCAAACTCTGATTTTAAGTCTCAGGACCGTACTTGACTAATGGCGCCGTACCTCACTTAGAAGAGTACACTACTGGGGCTAGGAGGCAGAAATGCTTAGTCAGTCAAGACCCTAGGAGGCAGAAATGCTTAGTCAGTCAAGACCCTAGGAGGAAGAAATGCTTAGTCAGTCAAGACCCTAGGAGACAGAAATGCTTAGTCAGTCAAGACCCTAGGAGGCAGAAATGCTTAGTCAGTCAAGACCCTAGGAGGAAGAAATGCTTAGTCAGTCAAGACCCTAGGAGACAGAAATGCTTAGTCAGTCAAGACCCTAGGAGGAAGAAATGCTTAGTCAGGACCCTATAAGCAGAACACACAGGGACCATCTGGGGTTCTTAGCTTGCGGCCCTGCTAGACCTTCGCTCGTCAATTCTCTAATGCCGGTCCTCTCTCCTCAGGTACAATGGCTTGGTGACAGGTATGAGGGCGAAGGGCATCATTGCGATTTGTTGGGTGCTGTCATTCGCCATCGGCCTGACCCCCATGCTGGGTTGGAACAATTGCAGTTACCTTAAGGAAGGCAAGAACTCCACGAAGACCTGTGATGAGGGCCAGGTGACCTGTCTGTTCGAGGACGTGGTGCCCATGAACTACATGGTATACTACAACTTCTTTGCTTTCGTGTTACTGCCCCTGCTGCTCATGCTGGGCATCTACCTGCGGATTTTCCTGGCAGCCCGGAGGCAGCTGAAGCAGATGGGGAGCCAACCCCTGCCAGGGGAGCGGACTCGGTCCACGCTGCAGAAGGAGGTCCATGCTGCCAAGTCCTTGGCTATCATCGTGGGGCTCTTTGCCCTCTGCTGGCTGCCACTACACATCATCAACTGCTTCACCTTCTTCTGCCCCTCATGCCAGCACGCCCCTCCGTGGCTCATGTACCTGGCCATCATCCTCTCCCACAGCAATTCTGTGGTCAACCCCTTCATCTACGCCTACAGGATCCGGGAGTTCCGCCAGACCTTCCGGAAGATCATCCGCACCCATGTCCTGAGGCGGCAGGAACCCTTCAAGGCAGGGGGTTCCAGTGCCTGGGCCTTAGCATCTCACGGTACTGAGGGAGAGCAGGTCAGCCTCCGCCTCAACGGCCACTCCTTGGGGGTATGGGCCAATGGCAGTGGCCCCCATTCTGGACGGCGGCCCAATGGCTACACTCTGGGGCTGGTGAGTGGAGGGAGTTCCCAAGGGTCTCCTGGGGATGTGGAGCACCCAGAAGGAGACCCAGAGCACCCTGGCTTAGGGGATCAACTGGCTGAGGGCAGAGTAGGGACATCCTCATGGTCCGCAGAGTTTGCCCCTTCCTGAGGGAAAGAAATCTTTATCTTTTCGGTTGGCTGGACCAATCTCACTGAGAGAAGACAAGGAAGACCATGCCAGGAAGCCCACTGGGCATTTGGTTTCCACTTTGGACTGAGTAGAGGGAGCATCAACCTGCAGCATGAAGCCCAGTAAGAAAGGCCTGGGGTGGAGGAAGGAGATGCTCTGTGCCATGGGGCCCTGTGCTAGGCTGGATGCAGTAGCATCAGCATCTTCGAAGGCGGGGCCCAGCCCCCCCCCATCCAGAAGCATCAGAAAGCTCTGTCTTGTCTCCATAGAGCGGCTGTGGCTTAGCGGCCTGGCCCAGTGCTGGGTATGGCTGCTCCAGGTCTCCCATCGTAGTACACTACTCTCCCCAGACTGTCTAGGGCTCAGGGAGCTGCCGGCCTGGAAGTGGCATTTAACTACTTTTTTTTTCCAGAAGATAAAAATGTGAGGAAACTCTTTCTATTTTATTGACTTCCCCTCCCTGGCTGCTGGCACTGTCGTCGATCCTGCTCTTGTCCCAAGGAGTTGCAGGCAGCCCTCTCACACTTCCGCAAGCTGCCATGCTCTTAGTCATAGGGCCACCTCGGGGCAACAAGGCTGGGCTTGGAGACAGGAACTGTGGAGGGAATAGTGCCAGAGTGTGGGCTCTCAGGTCCCATGAGAGAGGTTAGAACTGTCAAGCCCTGGACCTGAGCCTGGGTAGTTCTGAGCTGCCCCATCAGAGGCCCTGTCTACTGCCTTTCCTTCTGGAGGGACTGATGTTTTTGTTCGTGTGTGTGTGTGTGTGTGTGTGTGTGTGTGTGTGTGTGTGTGTGTGTGTGTATTTTCTGGGATAAAATAAAATGAGCCACACTTGTGTTTTAAACTTGTCCACCAAGAATGATGTCTGAGTTCTTTTCTCAATTCCATAGCCAGGTCTGATGCACACATGTATGATTGTGTGTGTGTGTGTGTGTGTGTGTGTGTGTGTGTGTGTGTGTGTGTGTGTACAGACAGACAAAAGCTACGTTGCTTATCCTGGGGACTTTCCAGGCTCCTATTGTCCAAGGGAACAGGCTGCCTGGGCACATCATAATCCAAAGGCCCATGTGTTAGGGTGGAGTGGGGTAGCAAACTTACATTTCCTATGGGAGACACAGCCATCCCTCACAAGCGCCATGGAAGGTCATTGACACATCTTCAGGGTCATTGAACCCTCGTGTTCTTCCTTGTTTCCTTCCTCACATCCTGCGAGAAGATCCGTCGGTAAGTCATCTCAGAGTTGTGCCTTCCCCTGTTCTAGTCCTTCCCCAAGAGGCTACACAGATCCCAGAAACAGATCCGGGCTGACGCAAAGCTGCCTTCCCGTCCAGCAGAAAAACCTGTGAGACACTGTCCCTTGCTCCAGTCTTGGGTCCCTGCCCAAGGAGATGCTGCTCTCTCATCTGAAGGATGGTGATGACAGCTTGGGATGGATGGGCAGGGAGCCATGACTGGTCTAAGAGGGCCCCGAGGGTCAGGCTAGTATTTCTTGGGCTATGATTCAGAAAAACTGTGTTAGAGCCTCATGGATGATGTTCACACAGCCCTAGGAGCCTTGTTTTACATTACAATTAACAAGACCAGAGAGGTTAAGTTTTTGCCCCAGGTTACACAGCAAAGCAAGCGTCAGAAGTGGATCTAAATCCAGGTCCTCTCATCTGCGATACTCATGCTTTTTAAAACTGATCGATGATGAACTATCTCAACCCATCCAAATCGTGTGAAATAATGTTTGCGTCTTCAATTTGAGAAACGCTACTTCAAGTGGCATACACCTTTAATCCCAGCACTCAGGAGGCAGGTGGATATCAGCCTGGTCTATAGAGTAAGTTCCAGGACAGCCTGGGCTACATAGAGGAACCCCATCTCAAACAAACAACAAAGAAACAAATAACAAAGAAGAAGGAGAGAGAAAGGAAAGAAAAGCATGTCTTCATTTGACCCATCTGACCCCTGCATTACAGTCTCTGCCTTCCCCTTACACTGAGGCGGAGATCTAAGCAAGTTGCTACATATTCTTTCACTAACTCATCTGTCAGAGGTCCTTCTAGCTGACCGAGGAGAACTTCTCAGTCTCTCTGAAGTCTGAGTGAACCTCCTTGGGTAGATCTCCGCCTTTGTTAGTAACCTAAGCGTATTACGAACAGCGAGCCATGAAGTGTCGATATGAATGTGGAGTGTACCCCAGTCCTCACAGGCCTCTCCCTCCTACATACCTCAGGCCTGTACTAGCTGAAGATGGACCGATGAATGGCCTGGGCTGTGTATGAGGAAGCAGAGATCGGTTGGTCCCCAGTTGGTAGAAGACCAGAAAGAACCACAGGAGCAGAAAAGGAAGAAACCTCATCGCCCTAGTCTTTTCTTGCAACTGAGCTTCTGGGCTGAGCTGCAGAGGTACAGGCTTTGGGGTTAGGAGATTAGGATGAGGAACTTAGAAAGGACTTCTAGGTACAGCCTCGATGTGGATGCTTTCTGTCAGCCCAGGCCCAGCTCTGGAACCCAAGCTTCCCTGAGTCCTATGTCCACAGCTGGTATAGGCTCCCACTGTGAGTGGCCAACTTCAGTGTGAGGACACATGTCTAGACACAAACGTATACATGTCGTTCCTCTAATCACGGCTATAAGTGTTCATACATGGACATTGCAGCAGGTACAGTACAGAAACTGCCGACGTGACCAGCCATTGTACGGCTAAGGTTTTCATCGTGACTAAGGATGGGAGAAAAGGCAGAGGGGACAGGGCCAGCGGGATAAACGTGAGTAGGAGGTATCAACCAAGTGGCCTCTCAGATAAGAATGACAGAGACTTACCCACTCTCTGGACAGCCAGCCTGTGACCCTCAGTGATGATCTCAATGGCTTTGTTGGGGGCAGAGGTCATCACTCTTTGGCTGCCACACAGGGCAGCATCAGCCCTCGGCTGCCAGACAAGATCTGAGAGATTTTTCTATGCAGGCAGAACGTGAACTGGCCTACTTTAATGAGGCAGAGAAGAGCAGTAAATCCAACAGTGTGGCAAGTCTGGCAGGGGCGAGTCATGAAACAATTCTTTGCCCAGTGCTATGTGTCACCGCACTTGAAGTAAGCTCTAGGGGAAATCTGTTGCAGCCCGACTTCTTTGTGAATAGCTCCAGCTGCTGCTGCCAGAGCTGGTATTTTGTCTGTCAGGGAAGACATTTTTCATTAAATGCCATATTAAGACTCTCTGAGGTTTGAGGGCCACCATCTAATCTATTAACTATACTTAATCCCAGCACTCGGGAGGCAGAGGCAGGTGGATCTCTGTGAGTTCGAGGCCAGGCTGGACCAACAGCCTCCAAAACAGAGAAACCCTGTCTCGTAAAACCAAAAGAAAAAAGAAAAAAGAGAAAAAAAGGAAACAACCTTTAATTGATTTTAGTTTCATTGCGTCAGACAATGACCTTAACAACATATACAGAAGGCTAAAGCTTGTCCCTGTAAACAAACTACATTTGTGCTTAGCATGACTACAGCATAGCACTGAGTACATTAAAGATTTCAATCATTTATAAGGAGACCGACCATTAACTTGTGTGTCCTTATTATCTTTAATGGTTTACAAGTCGGTAGCTTTTAGAAGATTAGGACCTTGTGGTTTTATCCCTGTTGAGTCCTAAAAAGCTTTAAACCATAAATACAGTCCCCAGAGATAATACAAACTTTACTTTCCTGGTCCTTTCACAGTGAGCCTGTACAGATTAGCACAGTTTCTGGCATGACTCAGTTTATCCAAACAGCTAAACTTTACCAAAGTTAGCAAAGACAAAGAGGCTTAGACAGACATCTTCAAGTCAGTTTTTGTTAGCCTGGATGAACCAGCCTCAGGAATTTATAAACCTTAATCACCAAACATGTTGTTAGTAAGTCCTACTTATTGAATCCAAGTTACAGATATATATATAAATATATGCATATATATCATTCTGTAGCAAGTTACAGTTACCTATGTATAGATTTTTTTAAATCATCAATGGTTTTTGTTATAAGTTTTAAGTTAACTTCTTTGTTACAGATTTTACAGGTTAAAAAAAACCACTCAAATGAACTTACAAATCCTGAGAAAAAGTTTAAATAATGTTCTTAGTTTGTTTTTTTTTTTGAAGAAGGTTTAGAGATAAAGAGATTTTTGAGACTGGGGAGTAGAGAAAGCTTAGAGGTAAAAGATTTGGGGATCGTTTATTTGTGCAGTGGCAGAAGTTGTTTTAATTTGATGCCTAGGTAGTGGCCACCCCAGCATGGTGTCTGCAGCAAAGCAGAAGTGAAGGGCATGAGCCTAGCAGGCTCTGCTCAAGGACCTCTCTGCACTTTAAAAAAATTTTTTATTTGAGACAAGGTCTCCCTATGTAGCCCTGGTTGTTCTAGAACTCACAGAGGTCAACCTCTGTCTACCTCCTTCGTGTAAAAGGCATGTGCCACCAAGCCCAGCTCCAAAAAGTGTAGTGATATTTTGTTTGTGATCCAACAAATAAAGCTTACCTGAAGATCACAGTGTGGAGCTAAGCCATTAGGTATTCATGGAGGCCGGGCAGTGGTGGTGTGCACTTTTAATCCCAGCACTCAGGAGGCAGAGGCAGAGGGATCTCTGTGAGTTCAAGGTCATACTGGGCTACACTAGATTGATGCAGTCTCAAAGAGAAACAGAGCTCACACCTCTGATCCCAGCACCTGGGATCACACGCCTTTAATCCCAGCACTAGGGAGGTGGGGACAGGAGTGATATGGCTGGGCAGAGAGAGGAATATAAGGCGGGAGGAGACAGGAGCTCATTGTATTCAGTCTGAGGATTCCTAGAGACAGGATCGTGCATTCAATCAGAGGATTCGTAGGGACAGGATCGCCCCTTTGGTCTGAGGATTCAGTAGAGGTAAGAACTAGTGGCTGGTTGCTCTGCTTCTCTGATCTTTCAGCATTAATCCCTATATCTGACTCTGGGATTAAGACCAATAAGAATACACACTACAAAAGAGCTTTATTCAGGCCTGTTCTGAGCACGGGGAACCCATCACATATTAATGTCCATTGGCTTCCAGGCCATTTCTAGAGCAAGAATGACAGGGCTACAGGGAGGCCCAAAAGCAAAGACCTGTCTCGGGCTGTGTCTTAGCCTATCTCAGGCCCTGGGAAACAGGCTTCCAGGGCTTCTCCTTGCTCTGCTCCTTGCCAGATCTTGAAGCCCTGCCCTTGTAGCTCTCTCCATTTGCATGAGGCTCCTTGCTTCCCCAAGGGGGAGGGCATCATGAAAGGGGACTCCTTGAGCTTGGGGAGTGGAGGGGAACCCCAGGTCTGTATGTTGACCATGGAGTGGCAGACCATAGGAGGAGGGGCTTCTGCGGGGAGAAATGGCCTATTGATGCCCCTTGAATCAGTTCCTCCAGACATGGGAAATTGATCTTCTTTGATGGGAAAGCTGAGCATAGAAGTTCACGTCTTTAATCCCAGCACTTGGGAGGCAGAGGCTGGTAGATCTCTGTGAGTTCGAGGCCAACCTGGTCTATATAAATAATTCCAGGACCGCCACCCAGGGCAATGTAGAGAGACCCCAACAAAATAAAAAATAAAAAACAAATAAAAAAAAACCAACAACTGTGAATGGAGCATAGTACCCAGAAGGTCCGCAGAAGACAGATGTCCAGGGAGACAGTTCTATAGAGCCTACCCGGATGTCCAGGGAGACAGTTCTATAGAGCCTACCCAGATTCTGGGCTGTGGGAAAGGGAGGTCAGGATTGCTTCTAACCCGACCTATACCTCTGTCCTCTAGTTAGCCTGCTGATATTTAAAACTTAGAGTATGAAGGGGTTCTCCCTCTGAGAGCTCAGCACACGAGG